TCATTATCAACGTACGACCAGATGTCACGATTCCTGTGGTCACGCCCAGATACGACAACATTTCAACGTGACCTTAGAGACTTGTGCTACGAAGGTAACCGATTTAACTGCTGGTTTAGAGATTAGGGTGCCGTTAATCTGATGGCTGATCCTCAGCAAACCTAAATAAAAAATAGCCGAAGGTGAACAGTGGTAGATACTGGATACTGATTCAGAACAGTGACTGCGATCGTCGAAATCCATTTACTGGGCTTATTTTGATGAAACACAGTATATAGACCACCTAATCTCCTATATACATATACATATATATATATATATATATATATACTATATGAAGGACTGTAGAGGACCGGTTTTGTGGCACATATATAGATATGAATTTAGACTGAGTTAAGTGGCCGACTTCATTTAGAAAATTTTATCATTAGTAATTCGAAGTTTCAGGAGAATAAAAACCACCGATTATTAACTTTTCCGCGAGTTTTATAACTGTATATTCTTCAGTGATTCTCCAATCGGAGACATACGAAATGTGTGTGTATGCATTGGTCGGGGAAAATTCCAATGAACTTTGTTCTGTATAAAAGATATCATCTCAGGTGGGGCATTGGAGAGCGGAAGAACCGAAAGGAATCGGAGATGAAACTGAGGACAGATAGAGAGTGACAGCAAGGGACAGAACAGTCATCAACTAGTCGGCGTGAGCGCGTCTGTGCACTGAATGGACGAGGTGGAGTGGAGTGAGGCAGGTGGACCGTGGAAGTCTTCGAAGCAATAAGAGCATGCATGAGAACGAGTGAACAGGTCCGGGGATCGGAATGAACAGAATGCAAAATTGTTTGGGTGATTCCATTCGGTTCAATGCGCCTGTAGAGTAAACAAGATGATGTCACAAGCGCTTTCAGGATGAATGGGAGAGTAAACAATGATTGGTTATGAGATATGAATGAATTCAGGCTGAGAATTTCACTACTCACTTAGGATCGAGACTATTGAAGGCACAGGAAAGGCTATATGTCGAATTTGTTATGTGGTCGACAGAGCCCCAAATGTACAAAATCTGCAGGGGAGAAATCGGAAAAGTTGTGAGAAGAGAATGTGAAAACAGAAAAAACAATAGAAAGAAGGTTTAAGCTGGCCGGAACGAAAATCGAAGAGAAGACATGAGTTAAACGAGAGTACGTGAGTGAGCGCAAGATGGTGTTTAAGAGGAATATACAGGTGTGTGTGTGTGTGTGTGTGTGTGTGTGTGAGCATGATATGATTGGAGTGATGCTGCTGAACTGTGGAAACTCTTAGACAAATGAACATAAGCGCAGCAACAGTATAGATTCGGTTACTCGATAACGGTGATCGGGAGGGCGGATGGGTGGGTAACAAAGACAGATGTCTGCAGAGTGAACAATTGTATGAAATCACAGTCCAATTTGGTTGGAAGTAGCGGCAGAGGCAGCAACAACAATGGCAACAGCAATAACGACAGCGATAATGACGACGACAAGGAGAGCGGAGATAGTAAGCTAGAGTCCGTAAAAGCATATTAGTTAACAAAAACAGGCCCATCTTCTATGAACCATCTCGAACATCCCGGTCGTCATCCTCGTCGTCGTCAAAAACCAAGAGTACGGCAGTCAGTATGGGGTAAGCGAACCGCTCATTTTCCTGATGAGGTGGACAAATCCGGTGAGAGCGATCGTGTTGGAGATTTGGTACTGGGAGACAGACCGTGTCTAGATCGCCGGCCTTTGAATGAGCTCCGCGCTGTGGAGGCTTTACTGTCTGATCTCATGGGCACAAGACTGTTAACAATTGCGGCCCCCATCGATCCGGCACGCATGCTCCGATAGAGCGGAGTGGCTGCAGAAATAGTACCGATATGAGCAACACCACCAGCCGCCGCAGCCAAACCTGCCAGACCGGATTCGAGTAACTTTTCAGGATTTAATTGTAATTCCCGTAAGCATTTGCCCAACTCGTTCAGGTGATGAAGCCACGTCTCCAACTCTTGGGTATTTGGCATTCGTACATAACGAACCTGAGTGGCATTGTGACAGGAAGCAAACTTCTGATGCTTGTCCACATGTTCCAAATGTATTCGTGTACGGCACTTGATGCATTCCAATGCCGGGGGTGGGTTTAGTAGATCGGAACAGGGACGATGACAGACATCACACAAGGTTTGACCCACCCGAAATCGCATCGGTTGGAATGTGTGATCGAGCCAACGAATATGCGAATCGCCCGGTCCGTTGTGCACGCCGACACTGGTTCGGTTGCTAGCTATGGTGCTGTTCAAATCCACTCCGGGATTGTCACCATTGGCCGGAATGACAGGAGTTTCTTCTTTTTTGTAAAATAATTGTAATGTGCGCGCCACTTCTTCTGCTTTGCTATGAATCAAATCCAATGTGGTCGCTTTTCGGAAATGCAAAAGCTATGGGGAAAAATGCATGGAAAAGGATGCGATCATTAGCAACAAATTGGCAATTGATATTTGCAAGTACATGTACTGAAGAGTAAGAATCCCGATCTGGATATTGATCCCTGGCTAAATACCTTATTACACCGAACACCAGCAGCCATGGATAAAGTCACTGAAAAAAAAGTGTTCAGTGCAGCAGCATTACGCAGAACCCAAAAGTGAGAGATTAGGCAAAAAGCTGGTACACGTAGAATATAAACGATAACTGAAAAGGTCAAACTCTAAATTAATGGATTTTCTTCCTTCAAGTTGAGGTCCTGGTAGAGAAATTCCACTGATCGTGTTGAGAATTGGGCTTACGTTTAAATCGAAGTACTTGCACAAGTCAGGAGCTGAGACAACGGATATATGAGCCTTGTGAAAACGTTGCTTTTCAGCTTCACTCGCATATCGAAAATTCATGAATGTTCCATCCGGTTGGGGCACGGTGACATTACAATATGTTTATCCGACGAGCCGCATCCCACAAAGTTGACGCATGAAGGTCAATTCTCATGTTTCTCGGGATAGGTTTTACATCTTTTATAGCGAGAGATTTTGCATGAGTGGTTTGTAGTCAACTCGCAAATTAATATAATATAAAAAGAGCATTTATCAATATATATATATATACACGTTACATTACATGAAAGGAAATGCTTTTTAGATTACTTGTATTGACCAGGATAAACACTCATCAAACGGTAATCATTGATTAGAAACAATGAACGTTCATAACGCTCTACGAGAAATTTTTTAATTCTGAGCGATAACATTTGAACCATCAAAAATTTCATCGTGACCTTCAAGGTCGCGCCAATAAAAGGAGAGAATTAAGGACATTGCAGTGGGAGGTAAAGTTCGGAATACACGCTCCCTGATAACAGCTGTCGATGTACAGGTATAATATTTTACATTGATACATATTTTCAAATACTGCATGGGTTCGATTAATACTTGCATAATAATTCGTTGGACTGAATATTACGTCGTAGTTCACTTGGTTGTTATCTATGTAAATGTCATTAGAAAACGTTGGACCATTGAAAATCCTTACCGATTAAGGGGAGAATCTAACTTTGCCGCCTAAGCATGGAGGATGATATCAAAAATTCAGTGGTTTGAGGAAATTAGCTTGTCTTAGCCAAGACTGACGAAAAAACCTAAACAGAAGACGTTGGTGACGTTTCGAACTTCTTGGAAGTTCTTTCACAAGTAGTTTATTCAGTTAATCTCACGTTACAAGCACGACACCCAAGTTTCTCAGTGAGATCCGTTCCATCGATGGATCTCGTGTGATTACGGAGGTTAGTGTCCTTGAAAACTAGGGAAATTGAGTGATCCCCCAAAGCATAAAGCCATTGCTGAGTGCGGTTAAAAAAGGTACAAATGAACGCAATTCAGTGTACTTCTTTAAACAATCATTTCTTTGTGCAAGGATGGTTCGGTCGGTCGGTCATCGCTCCCTAACTCCATTTGGTCGTTAACCGCATGAATTATTGAAGAAAAATGAAGAGGACAACAAAGTGCAAATTGGTGTGAACCAAGACCTAAACTGACACATGTGGGAGCGAGCACGAGGATACAAACATGGACGTTCAGTAAGCACTAAGACAAAAAAATACAGACCCGAAGAAATTCGGATACACACTCATACATACGCATACATACACACATACACACACACGGTTAATCCGATTGTGCACGTTCAACTGAGGAAATGAACCAATCGCGGGAAGATGAAGGGAACCGTCACATGTGTCTGCGACCTGTACAGTGCTTGAATAGCAGACCACACAGAAGAGAGATAACCAGATAGATGAATAAAATGAACACTAAGTGACTCGTAGGTCGGTTAAAGACATACGAGCAAGGTCGAGATAATAAACAAGCGAGTACACAGAAAATTACAGTCTTCCAGAAGCTCGTACAAACGTGTGGATGTGGGTGGATGTTTGTACGAAAAACGACAAGAAACCGACTGTCTACTTCATACTGGAGAACGTCGTCCAGGTGCATGTGGAAGTGCACAGAGCTCTACTCGACCCAACGTTCCTGACGTGACTCCATTGGTAAAAACATATTAATTTATTCAGTTGAATGCAATATCGATGAATGAAAACATACGTACATCATGACCAAAACACCAAATGAATGATCCAACTGCATTCAAGACATAGATCTAAGAGGATTCAGTGTTCTATTTCTCCCGGAGCAGTTGTCTAAAATCCTTGATTCCAAGCAATTCACGAAGAGACATATAAGCATACACATCTTCCTGGTTCTGGCAACGATTACTGGTTTGATTAGGGATCGAGATACGCTGGATACCTTGGACGTTTAAACCCCGTCCAAACGGCGTCTAATCCGATAAACTGGACACAGACCCCAGTGGATTCCCGCTATCCTACGATGCCTCGCTGATTAGGTTTCAGTTTGCCGAAGGCTCCGAATCCCCGAAGTAAATTCAGCTGCTTCGATCTGGGGAGCTTGGTAGCATCCTGGGCACGAGCAAATCACAGACATTTTATGTGTTATAAACATTATTGCATCGTGGTATATGGTAGTATTTTAGAATTACACTTGTTCCGTACTGGAGAGATGCGTATCAGATGTGATTAAAATCGACTGATTGAACTTCTTCTATTTGAGCCGCTGATAAACGACAACTGAATGCTTAGAGCGAAACCACGCACACTAGAACCTTAAAGAAGTGTATAGGGAATAGTACGACACTAGTCTGAGCTAGCTGTCAGTTCGGGCCTCGACCGACCGTCACCATCCATCTCGTGGATACCAAATAATTACTGAAACGAACAACATTTTACAGTTTATGGACTACTTTTAGTACTTTGAAAGTACGTCCAAAAGATAGTATTGATTGAATCACATTCAACCACTGATGAGACACAATCGAGTTCAATTGTGCGCACCTACACACTGAAGTACTATTTACTCGGAGAATGAACTTGTAAGAAACCCTGACACCAGTTTGAATCTAATAACGGAATGAACTCAACAGTGAGTACATAAACAGTCTGTCAAATTACCAACTGATTTGGATTACTCACGTTAACAAAATGGAATGCCAAACGATCATTACACAAGTAAAGGTGAGTATCGTGTCGACATAATGTAACAGTGAATAGAGAAGTTACCCCCAATACTATATCGACCGACAGTAGAGACAAATAGTCTGTCAGAAACCTGTCAGATAAAAATAAACAAATTGCCTAGTGACCTGAGTATTTGACGATCGAATCCGCCATACTTCATCGTCCATCTGTTGGACAATCATGACGTTTGTCACAGATGCGGATGAGATCCCCTAGAACCAGACACCTAACTGCTGGAGTCTGTCAAACACGCATGTGCGCGGGTAGATGAGTCAGTTATACACGAATTGATACACGAGTAATTTCCTCTCCCGTATAGGTGGAGCAATCGGAACGATATGTATGCAACTCGACTAGTTACTGGATTGTGCAATTCGATCGTGCCAAGCAGACACGAATTCATGATGGAACGCAGGAGGATCAATCAAAATGAGCAGAAAACCGTGATCATAATACTGTATAGGTGACAACCAGAATACACAGGATGATGCACTATTTTTGTTAAAACTCTCCAAAAGTACAATTGATTTTTTTTATCTTAACCAAGGATGAGGGTGCAGCAAGCTTTCAACTCAACTGCTTGGAGAAATTTTGATATTGGTGATGTTTTACTCGTAGTAACATTCAAAACTGGGTCAAAGAAAGTTGGAGTTATTTCATCAGAATGATCTGCAGAAGACGGAAGCGACGTCGGCATTCATAGTTAACCTGTTGAAATCCGGTACCATTTCGATTGAATCTGATTTTGTTGGGTAAGCTGGGAATAAAGATCTGTATGGAGACTAAAGTATTTGAATGACCCGATGAGATGTTTTAACAAAGACGGGCAAACCAACAGCCATTCTGAAATCAAGCCCTCAGTAGCATAAGATAGGATC